GTCCTGTGTCTAGGATCCTGATATGAACTGTCCTAGCAGTGCCCTTCACACCACTTCCCATGTTGCTTCTGCCCTCTACCTGGCTGGTTTTTGGTTATTGACAGTGTCTCCTGCTTCACCTTGGTCTTGAGAATCTTTGCGCCTGGAAGCAGCCTGCCTCGCAGTGTAACCTTCTCCCAGCAGAACCAGGATTAAAACAGGATTTAAAAATCCATCCATCCATCTTCTGTAACTGCTTTTCCTATTCAAGATCTCAGAGGGTCCAGAGTCCATGGGCTCAAGGCAGGGAATAACCCAGGATGGGGCACCAAGACGCATCATTTACTCACATGCCTACAGACAATTTGGTAACTCCAATTAACCTCAGCATGTTTTTCGGACTGGGGGGGGGGGTGGTCCCACAACACGGGGAGAACAGCATATAAAACAGTACATATCACATTAAAATAAAAAACGATTAATGGGGTAATGATCACATCTTTGATTAGCCTTCAGCCATGTCTTCAGAGGTATTTTAAACTGGCTGAAACTTGTACAGTCTCTAATATGGACTGGAATTGAATATATATATTAATAATAGAGAAAGCTGACTGGCTAAAAGAGGTTTTCCTGAAACTCACATAACAATCACCTCTCATAGAGGACCTAGACACTTAATTTATCTCTGCAAAATAATATACATTGTTTGAGGGCTGGCGGTGCAAGATCCTGAAAAAGTTTATATATCAAGCATATATCAGCAAAACAAATAAAACTTTCAAAAGTCAATAAATTGTATTTTGTTATAATGGGACAATGATGGTAATTTCTTGTTTTTTTATCCAGAACTTTTAGTCTGTTTATAGCGAGTGCCTCAGGGTTGTAAGACCTTGTCACACCTGCCTGTGCCCAACTTGTAGAGCAATAAGGTGTGAAGGATAAATTTATAGAAGTCTCGGATAAGCTTAGAAGCAGAACGTCCATGGTGGTATTCTCTGGAATACTTCCCGTGCCACATGCAAGCCAGGCTAAGTTAGCTGAGATAAGGAGATTAAATGTGTGGCTAAAATAGTGGTGTAGGAAAGAGGGGTTCAGGTTTATGGGGCACTGGAAGACCTTCTGGAATAGGTGGGACCTGTTCAAGCCGGACGGGTTGCATCTGAACCAGAGGGGAACCAGTGTATTGGGGAGGCGTATGTGTAGAGTAGTTGAGGAATGTTTAAACTAGGGACTGGGGGGGGGGGCAGGGAGGTTAGTTATGAATATAGGTGGGGGGAGACGTAAAGCCCCAATTACTATTAAAAGTGGGCACTGTAAAAGACCTACCCTTTGCGGTCTGTACCTAAACGCTAGGAGTATTAGAAACAAAATTCATGATTTGAGGCCTTCATTTCATCAGACACTTATGACATTATAGGAATAACAGAAACATGGATGAGTGACGAAGATGGAGAAGAATATAATATGGATGGTTATACGTTGTTCCGTAGAGACCGGATAGGCAAGCAGGGAGGTGGTGTTGCGGTATACGTAAAAGAAAACTTGCAGGCAAGGGAGCTCAATGATACAAATAAAAGTACAGAACCTGTATGGGTAAAACTAGATGCTAAAAACTCTAATGGCCTAATTGTCGGTGTTTGTTACAGAGCACCTAATGTAGCTGCAGAGGAAAGCAGAATGTTATATGACGATATCAGGATTATGAGTAATAAAAATGATGTGGTGGTTATGGGTGATTTTAATTTACCTGGGATACAGGGGAACATAGTCTCTGGCTCTTCTGTAAATTAACTTGAGATGGTGAAATTAGTACAGGATTGTTTTTTACTCAGTTTGTTAATACCCATACAAGGGGAAAAGCCCTTCTTAATCTTGTTTTCTCTAAGAACCAGGATAGGATTGGAAAATTAGAGGTTTTAGAACCACTGGACGGTAGTGATCATGATCAATTGGCAACTGGTCAGTAACATGACTGGGTATAAAAAGAGCGTCTTAGAGTTGCAATGTCTTTCAGAAGTAAAAATGGACAGAGGATCACCAATCCCCCTAATACTGCATCGACAAATAGTGGAGCAATTTCAGGGAAAAAGTTCCTCGGTGTAAAATTGCAAAGAGGTCAAAAATATCATCATCTACAGTACATAATATAATCAAAAGATTCAGAGAATCTGGAGAAATCTCTGTGTGTAAGGGACAAGTATTCTGGATGCCTATGATCTTCGGGCCCTTAGGTGGCACTGCCTCACAAATAGGCATGATTCTGCAATGGAAATTGCTAAATGGGCTCAGGAATATTTTCAGAAAACGCACAAATCGCCATGCCATCCAAAGATGCCAGTTAAAACTATCATTCAAAGAAGAAGCTGTATTTGAACATGATCCAGAAGCGCTGACGTCTTCTCTGGGCCAAAGCTCATTTAAAATGGACTGCGGCTAAGTGGAAAACGGTCCTGTGGTCAGACGAATCTAAATTTGAAATTCTTTTTGGAAACCAGGGATGCTGTATCATCCAGACTAAAGAGGAGGACAACCCAGGGTGTTATTGGCGCTCAGTTCAAAAGCCAGCATCCCTGATGTATGGGGGTGCATTAGTACATATGGCATGGGCAGCTTGCATATCTGGAAAGGCACCATCAATGCTGAAAGGTATATCCAGGTTCTAGAGAAACATATGCTGCCATCCAGACGACATCTCTTTCAGGGAAGACCTTCCATTTTCCAACATGACAATGCCAAACCACACACTGCATCAATTACAACATAATGGATTCATAGAAGAAGGGTCTGGGTACTGAACTAGCCTGCCAGTGATCTTTCACTCATTGAGAATGTTTGGTGCATCATAAAACGAAAATTACGACACAGAAGGCCTAGTACAGCTGAGCAACTAGAATCCTGTATCTGACAAGAATGGGACAACATTCCTCTCCCAAAACTCAAGCAACTGATCTCCTCAGTCCCCAGACATTTACAGACTGTTGTTAAAAGAAGTCATGCCACCCTGTGGTAAACATAGCCTTGTCCCAACTTTGAGATGTGTTGCTGCCATGACTTTCAAAATTACCTGGTCTTTTCCTTAAAATGATACATTTTCTCAGATTAAACATTTGATGTTTTGTTATGAATAAAATATGGGTTTATGAGATTTCCACATCATTGCATTCTGTTTTTATTTACAATTTCACAATGTCCTAATATATATATATATATTTATATATTTATATATATATATATATATATATATATATATATATATTATATGTGTGTGTGTATGATGATGCTTCCATGTCCCACTCTCGCCAAAAGGCCAATAGGATGTTATGTTACATCTCTAGGTGTGTGAAGTTTAAGTCAAGGGAGGTGATGCTACAATTATATAATTCCTTGGTAAGACCGCATCTAGAATATTGTGTGCAGGTTTGGTCACCATACCTTAAAAAAGGACATTGCGGCCTTAGAAAAGGTGCAACGGAGGGCTACGAGAATGATTCCTGGTCTTAGAGGAATGTCTTATGAGGAGAGGTTAGCTGAGCTGAATCTGTTCAGCCTCAAGCAAATGAGACTAAGGGGGGGACATGATCCAGGTCTATAAGATTCTAATGGGTCTGGATGCTGTCCAGCCAAATGGCTACTTCGATATTAGTTTAAATACTAGAAGTCATGGCCATCGGTGGAAATTAGTGGGAGAACATTTTAAACTGAATTTGAGAAAACACTTCTTTACACAGCGTGTAGTTAGAGTATGGAATAGTCTTCCTTTTAGTTTAGCGTAAGCTAAAACCCTGGGGTCCTTCAAATCATAGCTAGATAAGATTTTAACAACTCTGAGCTATTAGGTACGTTCTCCCCAAATGAGCTTGATGGGCCGAATGGCCTCCTCTTGTTTGTAAATTTCATATGGTTTATCACTAAACATTAAATCAATCATAAAATGTTCAAATGGCCCTAGAACCCTCATAATTAAAATGATAGATCTAAGAACAGATTTCTTTGAATTAGAAATGTATTGCATCAAATAAAATGTGAAAAAACTGGTTCGGCCCAGTAAATGCATCAGAATGTTGACACCTCAGATATTATCCAGCACATTTTGGTCATATTTGTAACATTTTGAAAATGAAATTATATTTTGGAAATTGAGCTTTTCCATCTACCAGATGCTTTTGTCTAAAGCAAAATACAACTTACAGCATCAAACGCATACGGATCAAGCAATCAACTAGGCCTATGTGCAGCCAAGCGGAGCTTCTACTGAATGCCCAGGTGCAAGAGCAAGTCGTGTTGGAGTAGGAGCCGCAAAACAATTCAAATGGTGTTATTGCATCTAGGAATCTGGAAAGTAGTTGAAATCCTCAAAAAACCAAACGCAGACCTGCAATGTTGGAAGCCTCCTCTCTGCATACATCAATCCGCATACACCGGGAAAGCTAGAAAAGCTGTGATTAGTAAAGAATCAATAATACGTTTAATTCATAACCGTTTAAAAAACCGAAACGGCATGAACACGATTGTAACCATAGTGAAGTGTTTTGTAAACACAAAGTTATCAGAAGGATGAAAGTGGTGGGTAGGCAGAGCTTGCTTTTTGTGATTTTTTTTGTCTTGGCTCTTAAAAGAGCCTTTGTTTCGGTTTTTATATGAAAACCAATTTATGCACGTTCGCCACGGATAC